AGCAATCCTCCTGCCTCAGCCTGGGACTATAGGTGCACACCACTGCATACTTTTTATTTTATTTTATTTTTATTTTTTGAGACAAGAGCCTCAAGCTGTTGCCCTGGGTAGAGTGCCATGGCATCACAGCTCACAGCAACCTCCAATGCTTGGGCTCAAGAGATTGTCCTGCCTCTGCCTCCCAAGTAGCTGGGACTACAGGCGCCTGCCACAACGCCCGGCTATTTTTTGGTTGCAGCCATCATTGTTGTTTTTGGTGGGCCTGGGCTGCATTTGAACCTGCCAGCTCAGGTGTATATAGCTGGCACCTTAGCCACTTTAGCCACAGGCGCAGAGGCTACTTTTCGTTTTGTTTGTTTGTTTGTTTTGTTTTGTTTTTTACAGTTTTGGCCAGGGTTGGGTTTGAACCCACCACCTCTGGCATATGGGGCCAGTGCCCTACTCCTCTGAGCCACAGGCGCCGCCCTAACTTTTGTTTTTATGATCAGATATTTTTGGATATGTTTTTTAAATCTCCTGATAGGATGCAATATGAAGTTTAAAGCATGAGCTATGAGGTTTTCTTGCTAAAATTATTTAACTTAAGGCAAGAACAGTGCCTCATACCTATCTATAATCCTAGCACTCTGGGAGGCAAAGGCAGGAGGACTACTTGCGCTCAGAATTTCAACCAGTCTAAGCAAGAGTGAGAAACCATCTCTACTGAAAATAGAAAAATTAGCTGGGCACTGTGGTGGGCACCTATAGTCCCACCTAGTAGGGAAGCTGAGACATGAAGATTACTTGAGCCCAAGAGCTTGAGGTTGCTGTGAGTTATGATACCATGGCACTCAACCCCTCTCAAAACAAACAAACAAATAAAAACTGTAAAAAAACCAGATCATGCCAAATCTTATAGATGACAGAAAAAGAAGAAATACTTCAAAATCATTCTACTTGATTTGGATACACCTGATATTAAAATCGGAGAAAATACATTATTATAAAGGGGAAATTACAAACATGATCTGTTTTTTGAAATTATCTTTCACTTTTATTTATAAATATGAGTTGCTTATTTTTGAGACTTAAAAAAAATAGTAAGAAGTTAACCGATGACTCCATACTGAATCTCAGAGTCAAAGCATTCTATAATAGACATACTCTTATTTGACAATGTGAATGTTACTTTCTTTGCATTATTATTATTGCTTAATATTTCGATGCAGCAATTGTCTGATTTCTTTTCTGAATGTATTTATGTTTGTTCATTCTTCATGAGGTTTTTGTTTCTCATCCTTATCTTAAACATTGTTATTGTTATTAAATTTTAAGCCTTTTTAATTTTGTGAAGGCAAAAAATGAAAACCTAATAAACACATCTATATGTTAAAAAAATAAATAAAGATTCTGAGCCCAAAGAAATCAAAAAAATAAAAACTGTATAACTTGAATCTAGTCAAACTTTTAGACCTAACTTCCAATTTGTAGGAAGGGATAAAAGAACACACAATGCCACACTACAAGGAAATAATCAAATCCAGAAGGGAGGACTTTTTAGAAGACAAATGGTCTTATTAAAAAAAAAAAAAGTCGGCTCGGCGCCTATAGCTCAACCGGCTAAGGCGCCAGCCACGTACACCTAAGGTGGCGGGTTCGAATC